ACCTGGACTCAGAGCGCCCTCTGGGCTCTCCTCTGTTGGGCCGATCAGCTGTTTGACACGTTGTTAAAGGGCAACATTGCTAACCTCCGTCACCCACCGACACTTGTGTCACTCACTGGGTCAGCCACACAAGTTAGAGCTGCAACTTCAAATCTAGGCCGGACCACAACCTGTAATTATGGCTGAAAGTTGCTGTTTGGCGGTACGTAAAAAGTCAGTGCTAGCCCGCTGTTGGAGGACTGACAGACCATAATAATAACACTGTGGAGGTTTGATGAGGTTATACTAATGAAAAAATATATATATTAATACAAGATAGAAATGTTATCATTTAAAATAAGCTGTTCTTTAGAATCGTTAGACTGGTTTGACTTTTCACTTATTAGGGTGAAGTTTAAAGTCAGTGTGATCTTTAATAATATTAATAATTAATCCATAATCCATTAATCCAACTTCCATAATTAGACTCATTAATATCATAATAACTGAATGGTTTTTCATTGTTAATTTTTTATAGCATGTAATTATTTAAATAGTCACAATTTGACATGTACGTGACCTCCCAGTTGAGTACATAAAATACAATCAGTATGGTGAAAAACTAATTAAACTCTCAGTCAGTAGATCAGTCTAACAGAGACCACCAGATTCACTGAGAATTAGTTATTAACAACCCTCAGGGCTAGCTCCTCTGAGCTATGCTACATGCTACAACATGCTTTTGGGCCACCATTGTATTCCAAGGAATTTGTGACCTCTATACGACAGTGTTTACAGTACCAAGTACTGCATATGAAAACACTTTCTGTACGCGTGTTTATTTGCACCAAACATCCGTACCGTTACACTCTAGTGGACATCACCAGTTATTACAGTCACGTAACATTATTAACAATAAAAGCCACATCTTACAGAGGCGCTCAGCAGCCAGATCAGCTAAAGCTAACACTCTCAGTTTTACAGAGTACTGTCTGAAACTGTCACCATGGGATCGGGGGGGTGGGAGGTGGTGCTGTGGGGGGTGCTGTAATGGTGCCGTAGGGGGTGCTGTGTTACACTCAGGCCTGCCAACTTGCAGCGTCACTCTGATCTCTGTATGTACTGAGAGCAGTTGTGTAAACGCCGTGTTGAGTCACACCTCACTGCTCCACTGCGCCGACTGTATATGTGTGTATGTACTGTATATATCAACATGTCGATGAATACGTGATGGAGTAATAGAGTGAGCTGTGGCCAGAGGTGAAGTAAAAACCTTCGACAAATAACACAATTTAACAATTCAATATTTCCCAGAAGTACAGCTACGTCTTGGCAAGAATCTAAAGATGCGTATCATACTGTAGGCACGACGATGTAGTCAAAGTGACATCATAGTAAAGACTCGATGCTGTTCTTAACATCCGGTTACTAACATTTGATCAGAGGGATCTACATCTGGAACGACTGCCTGGAGAATGTCGTCAAATCAATTTCAAAGCCGTTGCGGATCATTAACCATTAAAGTATCTAGTGTTCACCAGACTTTGGCGTACTAACCTGACCGCAGACTTTGGTTGGTTTCTTATCTAGAATCACTCTCCGCTGATAAAATACTGTCTACTGTTACCTCCTCCAAATTTAAAACAGCAGCACTTTATAAAGTCAAAATAGGTTGAAGACGATATCAGGGGGGCTTTTGTGGAGCCCAGCCCACAGTGTCTCCTGATTGGACAGCTGACAGGATCACGGTGATCATTAGTCAGGCGGTGAGAATCGTTACAGTAGAAGCTGAAATATCACTGGCTTTAGGTTAATTGTTGGTTTAAAGTGAACCTGTGGAGACGGCCGAGGTAGAGGTACAGCAGGTCACGTGGTCGCAGGTCGTTAAGGCAACTCACGTGCACGCTAACTTCAGCCAACCCACTCTTTAAATCACCTCTAAGGCCAACACTTAAAAAAGTAAAAAAAATATATTGAAAAAATTGCAGCCAAAAGAACTATTTTAACATCTGGAAGTCATCCCTCATCCCACGCCTCCTTCTGCTGACTGCCATAAATTGGTTTATAAGTCGTTCCCATGGAGAGGTGCACTAGAACCCCCATCAGCTGACCCTCTCTCCCCTGACACATCTCAGGTTTAGTGCCATTTTCTGAACTTCAGAAAATCATCCTCCAAATTTCGACCCCGAACCGAAGACGGTGTTTCATTAACGGCTGCTTTTTTCCTAAATCCTGGCAGAAAAGAGGCGTGTAATCAAGTCAGAGCTGAAAAATGTGGCATGTGTTTCCAATCACAGCCGCCTGTGGACCTGGTTGGATTCACATGTTTGGACATTTCAGCATTTGGACCAAACAGTCCATTTGTTGCAGTGTTAGTGATGTGGCAACTACAGCAACTGGAAGTCATTAGGAGGAGAGAGTGACCTCATGTGGATTATTTCTTTATTTTTTTAAAATAGCTTTCTTCTTCTTTTATTATTATTATTGATATTATTATGAAGCTCAGAACGGTGGGAGGGTTTAAAGCTCTTTTACAGATTTAAACTTTGGCCGTGCTGCCGATTAGAAAACCTGGTGAAACATGGAAGGAACGAAAGTTCGCCAACAAACGCAGGTTTCACAAAGACAGTGTTCAGTCTCTTTGATGTAGTGGAATCTCTGAGGATGTTTTACAGCGATGTCGGTGTCGAGTGCGAGGAATAACGCCGCAAAACTCTCTCTCTCTCTCTCTCTCTCCCTCTCTTCCTCTCTTCCTCTCTCTCTCTGCTCATCCCCCCCCCCTTTCCTCTCTCACACACACACACTCACAGCCACACAGAAACACATGTGTTTGTACTAAGCTCTGGGCAGTGAATCCTGTTTTCTCTTATTGGAGCCAGTTCTCTATTGTGGGTTCTCCTTCTCATTTTCCATGTTCATAGTTTTCAAACACCAAATGTTGTTGAAACACTCTTGTTCTTAAAGATGTTCTCAGCTGCAGGTTTCCTGTTTACCTGCAGGAACCTCCGTTTCCACGGTTCCGTTTTATCTGGTGCGCCGCTGCAGCCGGACCTTCTGCACATGTTCCTATCGGTTCCGTTGTGAGTAGCACTAAATGTACGCGTTGACCAAAGTCTGCTTAAAATTATTTCAATAGTTTTGAGTTCATAAAGTTGAGTTGGAAAGTCCAGTTTTAGACCGTCTTCAGTGGTGGTTCAGTATCTGTCTGATCGTCGCGTCGTGTCTACGAACTATGATGACGTACGACGAGCTTTCATCGTCCATTTAAACAAGAAACATATTTGCTGTGTCTACTGTGATCCAACATGGCCGCCTCCATTGAGACGGCCCACTAATTTTCATATTAATATTTTACCATTACTAGTAAGTAATTCAATATAAATGCAATTACTAGTTCTTCCAAAAAGGACCTGAATCCACCAGCGGCGCTACATTAATGATATGATCAAAATATAACCCATTACTGACATTAGTGGTTGATGGTGGAGAAGCACATTTTTCTTTGGTCTCCAAAAACACAAGATGGAGACCAATGGCTGTACTCGGTTTGAAATGGATGCAAACATTTTCACTGCAATGTTTAGAGATGTTTTTGAGATAAAAAAAAACTGAGTGAAAAAAAGACTTGGACGATTCTATTAATTAAATTTTTCCCCTGTTTAGTTAGAACAGAATAATGTTTTACCAGTTAATTTTTTGTTTCCTGGTTTCAAATGGTTCCAGTCACTGGTCTCAACAAGCATCAGAATTAGTAAAGAAATTAGGAGTTCCAGTCACTGGTCTCAACAGGGAAGCATCAGAATTAGTAAAGAAATTAGGGATGTGTGATATTAACTTTTTATCGATATCTGATGTGCCGATATTGACCTGGTAATATTTGTTTGTTTATCTGTACAAACCACTGTATGAGTTGCTGTAAAAATAGTTTGTGTCCGTGATGGACCCATGCTAGTAGTAAACTAAAGTTAATGGTGAATAATTATCCAGGTCCATTAACAGATGTAGATCATAGACAGGACTGTCACCGTAGTGCAGTGCTCGGTCCATCAGGGGGCCCCATGAAGTGAACTTTCCAGTGCTCAGTGTGGGCCATGACATCATGTATTGAAACAGCCCGGTCCCTGTGATGACATACACCATCAGACACTCCAATTGGAAAAAAAAAGGAAGCAGAGTTGAAGTAAAACAAGAAAACTCAGGTGTTCCAGCCCTGAATGTTTCCAGTTGTTGAAACCAGAATCCACATGAACACTGTGTGACTCAAAGACTCCGAAATGTCTCCCCGCGTCTCATGTCTCCTCACATCTGCCCCAGATTAACATGCAGCCTGTGTTCCCTCAGAGGCGCATGAGCTCCAGTGCTTAAATTCTTTTTGCAGATGTACAATGTAGTCAGAGCGGGGGGGAGAGAGGGAGGGGGGGGAGTTGTGGTAACACGTAATGAATGTTCCGTGGTTGTGCAGTAGTTCTAGGTTAGATGTAAAAACCACCAAGGTGCTCATTTCCTGTCCTCCATTCATTGCCATCACTTGATTGTGTCGTCACACGTACAGTCGCTGATCACAGATGTCCACACCACTCTCCGCTAACACGCGCACACACACACAAACTCATTTGCAACCTACAAATTACCCACATCAAAACTTAACAATTTTTTTGTCTAACGTCCCCTGAGCTTCTGTAACATCTCAATCAACACCATCAGAGAAGTAACGCTGATGTACTGTTATATGTGCAGCCGCGGTCCATCAGAAACCAGCAACACCTGGTACGGTACGGCTCTGATTAAAGCAGTGTACTAGGACAATTCACAGTACTAAAAAAAAAAACCCAACAACATAGAAATGTACCACGATCCAAACCTCATTTCTCCAAATGAGGATCCTTCAGCTGTTGAATATGCAGTATAACGGACAGTAGTTCATGTCACTTCAACCAGCTTCAGACAAACTCAAAGGCAATGTATAAAGGTCACTAAAAGCAATTTCCAAAAAAAAAAACAAAACAGAGAAGTTCACTTACCACCGGTTGCATCTTGACTTGTAACAAGAAAAACCCGAGTCACAGAAATCACCAGAAAAAGCGAAGTCCTTAAATGCACAAAGCCCTTCATGTCTATAGGACACACATGAGCCTATTGTGCGGAGAAAAAAAAAAGAAAAGAAAAAAAAAACTACTCAGGTTGTTACCGCAACACCTTGAGTACGAGACTGCCTCGCCCTGTGAGCAGCAGGCAGATCCAGCCCAGACTGCGTGAGTGCTCTTTTTTGTGTAGTTACAGCTTCAAATGAGAAGAATGCTGGCGGGCCTAATTTTCCTCCCCCTTTTGTCAGCCCTCTCCCATAACCATCCTCTCACAGGCTTTGTGGCTGTGGGAGAACTACACCCATGTTCACAAGTTCTCATAGTTTCCAGTCATTTTTTTTTTGTTCAGCGTTGGCAGTCACCTCCGACGTGATCATCTTATCTGTGATGCCCGGGGACGGATGAGGAAGAAAAAAAAAGACTAGATTATTTGTGATTGTTTGTAGATGTTTGTCATTTTGGCCTTCCTTCAGAAGTGGTTGCTGAGCAACATCGTAAAAAGCAGTGTTTTATGGCTGTCTGTGGGCCACCAAACAAGACACACAGTGAGCTGAGAAGTCCCTTCTTACAGGGTCATTAAAGCAGGAATAGATTTTTACAACATTATTGTCGCCTCTAATGAAAAAGACAGTCGGTTCCTGGTACTTGTTCAACCTATTTGCTCATAGATTCATTGGGATCTAAATTCAGAAAAGAAGGAAACTGAAACCCAGAGTGTGCGACGGACACTTGGGTGGTCGTGAATGTAAGGGGTCATCCCACAGGGGGCAGTGTATAAATTTAGAAATCTGAGGTCAAGACCTCTTGAGTTAAGGCAAGAATATGGAACTGTGTGTCTCTTTATCAGTTCTACTTTTGACCAGGTTCACTGAACGTAGACGTGATATTCGTAGTAACACATGGTGAAAGGGGGGAGGGGCAAGAAGATCCTGGGTTTAGGTTCTGGTTCTGACTGAAGGTCCATTTTCCAGTATGAGGTTCACCTGTTCTTCCTGTGTTTGAGAGAATGTTCTCTGTGGGGAGAAGGTTAGTTGTTAAATGACCGTAGGTGTGAATGTGAGTGTGAATGGTTGTTGTCTCTATAGCGGACCCTGTGGTGGTCTGGAGAACTGCCAAGGTTGTTATCTGGTCTTTTTCAGATGAGTGCTGGGATTAGTGAAAAATGAATGCATTACTATTATATATGTATAGATATATACTTCAGTAGATTACTTTATCATCTGTAAATCTCTAGAAATAAAAAAAGAACCTTGATCTAATGTCAAATATTCCTGTCATGTAGGGCCGTGTCTGAATCTGGACATACTGTATATGATACGAAATATTGCAATATTTTAGTGTTTCTATGTTTTCTCTCATAATATCATGTGGGTTATTTGATGATGTCAGAGCGAGTAGTTCTAACAAGACAAACTCAATCAAATGACTTATCTTATCATTGTTGGGGTTTTAGGAAGTCCTGTGTATATGTGACTGTGTACTGGGGCGGGGGGGGGGGTGAAAAGACTAGACCCTAGGAGAGACACAGCTGTTTTCTTATCAGCCCTGCCCACAGGTCAGGTCAAACCTTTCCAACGTCCCTCTGCAGTAGCACCCACAGGAAACATCAGTGATACTTTTCCTTGACACTGACAGTTAGAGGGAACTTCAAGGGGATTGAACCCGTGATCTTCTGGCTCCAAGTCTCCAAGGACTGACCTTTGGTGGCCATTGTCTCTTTGTTGGGTTTCAGGCAGGCTTGTACACAAGTACACACTCTAGAGTGTATCGACCAAACTGCAAAGAAGAAGAAAAAAAAACTGCTGCTTCACAGTTTGGAGCTGCCTTTTAAAAAGGCGTTCCTCTAATATCATCCAAGAAATGAATGTTAATTAGGATTGAGTTGAAGGAAGTGGTGAAGAAAGTCTGACTTTTTTTTTCTTCTTTTCACTCACTTTGTCCTTTAAGACTCATAAAGTCATGTTTTTACGCCCTTTAATAATATGAAAAAAAACACCAACACATGGTAAAACAGTGAAAAAAAACAATAAACAGAAAGAAACTCACAAAGCAGTCGTATTTTAACCAGAACTTTCTTTTAATTGCGACTTTCAAAGATCACAATTTGAACACGTTTTGCTCCACAGGACGTGATCTCTTTTCTTCTCTTGCTGCTTTGAAAGCTGAGCTGAAGTGGACGAGAAGAATGTTGGAACAGATGGGATGCACATGGTGCTTATAGTAGAACTGAGACCTGGAGTTTTTGTTTTTTTTTGGTTTTTTAGAATAAATGATCCTGTCAAACAATCACACCTAGATTAAATAAAACCTCGAGATGATGATGATGGTATTCTGGATGTGACACTGCTGCAGCTAAAGGAATATAACAAAGTATCTAAAGGTGTGTACCAAGGACTGCAGTGAATGGATGAGGACAGTAAAATATATAATTAAAGTTTTACAGGACAATTACAGGGCACGTGCTGTTGAAGTAACTGTTACTGTAGTTGGGTCTACATTTTCTGTCGAGTACACAGAGCAGTACTTCATGACTATGACCATTTAAGTATTCCTGTATACATTCCTTCATCTTCTATTGCCTCATCCTTTTTTAGGGAAGTTAAAGCAGGGGTTGGATGATGTGGGTGGAGCCAATCCCAGCAGTCATCCAGTGAGGGCGGGGGTTACACCCTCAGCGGTTCTGTCGTCCATCACAGAGAGACAAACAGCCATTCACACTCACATTCACACCGGGAGTCAAATTAGTCCAAATGTGGGCTGGAGTCTGACCGTCAACCTCTCTTGATATCAGATGGGTAAAAATCGAGCTGCTGTGCTTCTGACCTGTTGTAGACCAGTAGAACTGTGGACCAGTACAGTTGTGGACCAGTAGAGTTGTAGATCGGGATGATGTCAACGTAAGCTCAGTGTCTTAAAGTAGCCAAGTATTTCATTCACTTCAGTCCTGTCTCCCGTCTTTGTAACAACTGTAACAATTTGATTGGTTTAACAGAAATCACACTGAGTCTTTAAACGTACAACTACAGATCTGCGAGGTCAGACAGGGAGCGGAATTCTTTCGGGCAGTGTAACTTGTAAGCGATCCTCCTACGAAACTCTCCCTATCTCACAGCATGCTGAAGTTAAGTCTGAATTTGTTGCTGCCAAGGCCTTGACAGACCTCCCCCCCCCACCCACACTCCCACCCCTCCTCTTTCCAAACATGAAGTTTCACGGTCTAAGATCATCTGGAAAAGTCATCTCTGCCCCCCCCCCCCCCCCCCCCCGGGTGGAAACAAACACAAAAAAAGACCAACGACATACCAGAGACTAAAAAAGTAAATCTGTTTGTGTTCAACTGTCAGTGTTGTCATTTGACTCACTGGCTCAGCTTCAAGGACCAGGTCCCTGATCTTAGTTGAAGGCAATGTAGAGTTTCTAGATCGGACAAAGAGCTAGAACAACGAAACAGGATCAATGTACGAAAGTAAGAGAAGGAAAATCTAGAAAAGTTCTCCTCTTGGATACAGGATCTGGGGTCGGTGGGACAGTTTGATCATTTTGTTTTGTTTTGTGCAGTTTAAGTAAATGAAATATACTGGCACAGATATATGATGATTTTCCAACACGGGAGCAGCAGCTGAAGGCTTTGATAAACACAGAGGTGTGTTAGTAGACAGGGTGGGAACGCTAACAGGACACAGGTGGAACACAGCAGGTAATCACAGGAGCCGCAAACCCACGGCGGCAGGTGCACGTTGACTCGTAAACAAAGGAGGGCAAGAAGTGGAGGACGTGGGGAGGCTGTAGGGCTAAGGCACAAAAATATAAAAGGGAAAATATAATTTTTAAATATTCGATGTCAATTAATAGGGATGTCCGATAATATCGGTAATAACCTCCGATAGTGAAAACACAATGCCTGGGTTCCGCCAAATCATGTGTGACCTAAAAATGGTTTTGCAATAAAAGTAATTAAAATAAAAGTCACTAGATGGCGACATTGCAGCTTATTTAATTAAGCTATTTTAATCATTAGGGGGTTGTACATAAATAATTATTACCAGGCCTATATCAATATTGATTTGATATCAGAATCAGAAATTGTGGGCGGACAATATTGGCACACCGGATATTTTGGACATCCCTCTTAACTCAGACTGACTTCAGAGACACAGAGCAGCTCCCACAATCCCCTCTGATGTCTTTGTTCTCCTGAACTAACCTGAACGTCCAGTGGAATGGAACCATCAAAGCAAATATGTGGTTTAAAGCTTTTTTCACAGTGGCCAAATGCCTGACCACGTGTATATTTGGTTTTTTCATGGCCGTGGTGAAATAATTCTCACCTTGTGGAAAATGCTCGGAGCGCCGAGGCGACTGAACATTAGTCATTGGGCAGCTATCTGTTGGGGGGGGGGGTGGTGAGAGGGTGCCTTTTAGTGTTGGACATTTGTTTAACTTCCAGAGAGAAACTTAAAGTGCTAGAGGGAGAGGATATTTCTAGAAGTCTTTTTTTGGTAACACCACTTTTCTAATTTAAGTACCGTTAGTTTAGAATTCACTGTAGGGATTTGTTTACACTTCATTATTGTTTACAGGTAAAAATGTTTGGTTTTAATCATCGCTGTAACTCGGGTACACGTGACGGTGAACAGATCGACACAACTATTATTCTCTGTGTGGATCCAAAAACAGTGGATTTGTTTCACAGCAGTCTGCGTCTGGAGTTGTCATGAATTAAAAGTCAGTGAGAGGATCTGACGTCTGAAGAGTGTCACTGGAAACTATGACTACAGTACCACTCAGTACTTCTCAGTACTTTATGTGGAGTAAATATAATATATAAATATGCTCAATTTTCTAACAGATTTATTTTTCTTTATGACAAAGTAATTCAAATATTTCACAAACCATAGATTTCTGAGTTCAGGTTTCGGTTGCACAATTTCTATTTAAGAAAAAAACAAAACAACCCTGTGTGTTGAGTTTTACGGAGTCTTGACCTTTTCATTCAAAGTCTCTCATGTGAAACCTTGCTCCTGGAGCAGGACTGAACTTGAATGTTTGTGAGCTCAACCGTCTTGATGCACTTTGCATAACCTGAGGGTTTGACTTTGTCAAATGTTTGGAAGCTGACAGGAACCCGACTGGATCCTTTACATGTGCTAATGTTAGATTGGGGGGGGGCGAGGAAATACTCAATAATATTCAACTCCAGCTGACAGCATGGCCTGAAGGCACTGAAACGTTAGCCACGGAAACAGAGGGTTGACAGTGACAGAGAAGGTCTGGGACGAAGGTGAATTCATGACTTCATGCGTCCATCTGTCCTTCACAGGTCATGGATTAGGTTAACT